TCCAGGAGTGAAGGAATACGTGGCAATGGCACCACAACCTCCCTTTGTCCCTTTCAGACTGCTGGGTCTTAACTCCGACTGCTACCTCTGTTGTCAACTGGTATCCATCTTTATGAACTGCCTTCAAATAATTTAGTGCATGTAGATGCGAATTACTGCCCTATTAGAGTTAGTCATCTTAAACAAATCAGACTTCTTCAGATGACTCCAGCCAGAATCAGTCACAGCTCACTGGGAAGATTGCAAAACTTGCTTAAAACTGATACTCTGGGACAAGGTCTGTAAGAGATTCTGAAGGAGATTGAAACAGTAGGGTGAATGACTGATACCTTAGAGGCTTCTTTGAAGCCTAATGTGAGATGGAAATGAATTCTGGCCTCCATAGGGCACCAGTATGAGAAGGGACACAACAAAGTGCAGGGAGACCCTACAGCATGCGACAGCACAGTGCCTTTAACAGAGTTGTGTTCTGTGCTGCTTCCCTTGCAGAGAGGTGTTGCCACAGTGGTGCTGGGATATCTGCTTCACACAGGCAGTTGTAAACAGCTTGGAGTTATCCTTGGGTGTTTTCTCAAAATTAGACCAAAGAAACTTAAAGATCTGGTGTAGGATTGAAGACAAGCACTGGCCAATGGAAGGACAGAAGTTAACCTTGATTTGGTATTGTTCAGGGATTTGTAGATTAGGTGGGTTATCGAGGAATGGGTCTGGGTGGGATGCATTGAGGGACAGTGTGGACTTGTTGGGCCGAAGGGCCTGTTTCCACACTGAAGGGATTCTATGATCTATGAGATGATTGTGGTGAAGTTGATGGAGGGAGATATTTAGCCTGTGTACGCAGGATTGACCCCAAAGATGAAACTTTCTGTTTAACTTACAAAACCCTCTCCAGAGATGGTAGCTCAGGGTTCATCAATAGGGGGCTCCTTATTCACACTGCAGCTGGTAGCAAAGTTTGATTACAAGGCTGGCAGCTTCTGGAGATGTGACGGAGATCTTTAACTTTATGTTAATTTGGTGCCCCTTTCCGGACTCTCTAGTGGGCCCAGTGCTGGCGTGGGTGTTGGTGAGTAGGATCCTGGTGCATCCTGGGATTGCAGCCTGTGTGAAATTTGAGGGGAAAAAAAATCAAGTATCCAAGTCTCCAGAGACAATCGGGAATTAAAACACTTTTTGCTGTCTCTGGACAACCAACATTGCGGCTACATGGAAGACAAAAAGACACTTTTATATCCCACAATTCCTTGTCTTTATCACTCCACCATCCAACACCATCAAGTGGATGGTCCCCAAGATTGTAGTTCACCATCTTTCACTTTTCTGTATCTTATTCCCATCTAGTACAATTGTGGTCCTCTTGTCAATCGGAGCAGATGCATTGTCAGGCCAGGGGAATTCTGAAGGAGAACAGTGATAAACATAAATAACTCCATTCTGGCCAGTTTTTATCCTAGGCATACTTGCAGACCTAGAAAATTCAACATAGCACACTGATGGGTCAAGCTGAAAAATAAGTCTAGCTTGAACCAATTTCTAGTGATTTGCGTGTTCAGGCAACATTGTAAATCATGTTATCAGCAAATAATGAAATATTACGCAGTATAACATTTAACATTATCCTGCCCTTAGTCACAAACTTGGTATCATGTTCATTCTTGACCTGAGCTTTGTACCCATATTCTCTCCATCGCTAAGCCAATTACTTCTTACTTTGTAGTATCACCTATCTCCAGCCTTGTCTCAGCTCTCCTGCGCTGAAAGACCATTCATGCCTTTGTTCCCCCATTGACTATCTCAATGCTCTTACAGTCAGCTTCCAACACCAACAGAAACTTGCATTTATGCGGTGTGTTAACAGGTCAAAGCATTTCACTGGAGCTTTAACAGACAGAATTTGATGCTGAGCTGAATAAGATGATACTCAGACAACTGACCAAAGTTGGTCCAATATATAAGCTTTAATGAGCATCTTAAAGAAGACCGGTGGAAATATGGAGGGGTTTATGAAGGGAATTCTAGAACTTGACTTCTTCCATATCAACCTAGAACTAGAGGTACCTTTTCAGGACAGAGGTGAGGAGATTTTTTTCTTCCAGAGGGTTGTATGACTTTGGTACTCACTGCCTCACAAGGCAGTGGAGGCAGGGTCTTTGAATATTTTGGAGATAGAGATGGTTAGATCCTCGTTAGGCAAGACAATCAAGGGTCACGAAGCATAAGTTGGAATATGAATTCAAACCACAAACAGATCAGCCATGATCTAATTGGATGCCAGAGTGAGCTTGAGGGGCAGAATGGTCCACTTCTGCTTCTATTTTTTATGTTCATATGTAACTTCCAAGGCACTGAATGGTGGGGTGAAGGAATTTGGAACTTAGAAGAGATCAGGACTGGAGAAATGTAAGTTTTGAAGAGGCACAGTGTTGGAGAGGGCACAAAACAATGGAAATATGCGAAAACAGGATTGAGAATTTTAATATAAAATTATGTATTTTACTGGTGTTATTATAGTTAGGAATGCATATTAATATAAATGTACATTTCAGTATTTCGACATTGCACATTGCTGTTTCAGGGCAGAAAATGTCTGAAGGAACCTAACTCCAGCTATAACATTGATTCCTTTGGGAAACTATGATTCACTTAAAGTTGTAATTTTCAGGAACAGAACCATAACTTTAAATTGGTTCAATTGTACAGAAGTTTTTGGTTAGATTGCCCTGGAGTAATGTTACCATAGTCCTACTGGACTATATGGCTACTCTCTCATTAGCAGTGGTTTAACCTGATGGTCACTATGCCTCAAGTAAGGGGAGAGATTGAAAAGAGTCCTTCATAGTAATCACAGCCAGTATGGGAATTGAACCCTTGCTGTTGGCATTACCCTGCATGATAAACAAGCTCTTCAGCCAATTGAGCAATCCAACCCCCTGGAGTATTGTGTGCAGTTTTGCTCTCCTTACCTCAGAAGAGATATCACTGCCATAAATGGGATGCAATGAAGAAGACTCACAAAAGGATTGCAGGAATGTTTTTCTGTTCAACCAAGCCTCTAGACAACCGAAGCAAGACTTCACTACTCAATTTAAATTTATGATTCTGTTCCTGAAAAACACAACTTTAAGTGAATCATAGTTTCCCATAGGAATCAATGTTATAGCTGGAGTTAGGTTTCTTCAGATACTTTATGCCCAGAAGTTTCAATGTATAATGTTGAAATACTATAATGTCCTTGTAGAGCTGGATGAACACAGCAGGCCAAGCAGCATCAGACGAGCAGGAAAGCTGATGTTTTGGGCCTAGACCCTTCTTCAGAAATGGGGGAGAGGAAGGGGATTCTGAAATAATTTGGGAGAGAGAGGGAGGCGGATAGAAGATGGATAAAGGAGAAGATAAGTGGAGAGGAGACAGACAGGTCAAAGAGGCGGGGGTGGAGCCAGTAAAGGTGAGTGTAGGTGGGGAGTTAGGGAGGGGATAGGTCAGTCCAGGGAGGACGGACAGGTCAAGGGGGCGGGATGAGGCTAGTAGGTAGGAGATGGGGGTGGGGCTTGAGGTGGGAGGAGGGGATAGGTGGGAGGAAGGACAAGTTCGGGACACAGTGACAATCTGGGCTGATTTTGAGACGCGATTGGGGTAGGGGAGATTTTGAAGTTTGTGAAGTCTACATTGATACCATTGGGCTGCAGGGTTCCCAAGCGAAATATGAGGTGTTGTTCCTGCAACCTTCGGGTGGCATCGTTGTGGCACTGCAGGAGGCCCAGGATGGACATCTCGTCTAAGGGGTGGGAGGGGGAGTTGAAATGGTTTGCGACTGGGAGGTGCAGTTGTATGTTGTGAACCAAGCGTAGGTGTTCCGCAAAGCGGTCCCCAAGCTTCCGCTTGGTTTCCCCGATGTAGAGAAGGCCACATCTGGAACAGCGGATACATTAAACCAGATTAGCAGATGTGCAGGTGAACATCTGCTTGATGTGGAATGTCTTCTTGGGGCCTGGGATGGGGGTGAGGGGGGAGGTGTAGGGGCAGGTGTAGCACTGCCTGCGGTTGCAGGGAAAAGTGCCGGGTGTGGTGGGGCTGGAAGGGAGTGTGGAGCGGACAAGGGAGTCACGGAGAGTGGTCTCTCCAGAAAGCAGATAAGGGTGGGGAGGGAAAAATGTCTTTGGTGGTGGGGTCGGATGGCAGATGGCGGAAGTGTTGGAGGATGATGTGTTGGATCCGGAGGTTGGTGGGATGATACGTGAAGACGAGGGGGATTCTGTTTTGTTTGTTATTGCGGGGAGGGCGTGTGAGGGATGAGTTGCGGGAAATGCGGGAGACACGGTTGAGGGCGTTCTTGACCACTGAGGGGGGGAAGCTGCGGTCCTTGAAAAACGAGGACATCTGAGATGTACGGGAGTGGAATGCCTCATCCTGCGAGCAGATGCGGCGGAGGTGAAGGAATTGGGAATACGGGATGGCATTTTTGCAGGAAGGTGGGTGGGAGGAGGTGTATTCTAGGTAGCTGTGGGAGTTGGTAGGCTTGAAATGGATATCGGTTTCCAGGTGGTTGCCAGAGATGGAAACAGAGAGGTCCAGGAAGGAGATGAATGTGCATTCCTAGCTGTCCTTACCTGGTCTGGCCTACACGTGACTCCAGACCCAGAACAATGTGGTTGACTTTTAGCTGCCGTCTGGGCAATTAAAGGTGGCCAATAAATGCTGGACTAGCCAGTAATGTCTACATCATGTAAATGAATTTCAAAAACTCACAACCTTTCTACTTTGCTTTCCCCATTTAATATATTCATGAGTAGGATTTATCTCCTTAAGTAATTCAGTACTTTGCTTTATAGTTTTAACTTATTCTCTAATCAACCTCAGGAGGAGGGGCTTGAACCTGGGCTTCCTAGTCCAAGGGTAGGGACATTACCACTGAGCCACAATAATGTGGGATATTATGCGGGACATCGTGTTACACGAGTTACGTAAAACTGTTGCTGTTTCATGTCCCCAGCATTTGCAGCAAACATTCACTTGGCTTTTGTGCAAGAGTTGCAAATAACTGATGCCACGCCTTTCGCGACCCGAGCCAACAAAACACATTTTTGAAAATAAAAAGTTGTTTTGATGTGTGCAGTCAGTGTTGCGCAGGGAAGTGGCAAATTATAAAACTGCAACGAGGGGGTAGAGTTCAGCGTCAGTGGCCTGGGTTTAGAGTCAGCAGGTTAGAGCTGATTCTACCCGCTGAAGGGAAGGGGAATGGCGTTAGCGCGGACTCTGGTATCTGCTTCTTGGCTGAACAAGGCGATAAGCAGCGCTAAGGCCGGGCCGCTGCGGGTCCTGGACTCCTCCTGGTACCTCCCGAAGTTGCAGCGGGACGGCAAGAAGGAATTCCAGGAGAAGCACATCCCCGGCGCTACCTTCTTCGACTTGGACGAATGCAGCGACCACTCCTCCCCTTACGAGCACATGATGCCCGGGCAGGAGCATTTCTCCCGATACGTGGGCAACCTGGGTATCTGCAACGACACCCACGTCGTGATCTACGACGCCAGCGATTTCGGGATCTTCTGTGCCCCCCGGGCCTGGTGGATGTTCCGGGCCTTCGGTCACAGCCGAGTGTCGGTGCTGGACGGCGGCTTGCTCAACTGGTGCAGGGAGGGTTTCCCGGTGACTTCGGAACTGCAGGACTACACCGTGGCTGAGTACAAGGCAAACGCCAAACCCTGGGTTAAAACTTATCAGGAGATCCTGGACAACATCCGGAGCAAACAGTTCCAGCTGGTGGATGCCAGGTCCAAGGGCAGATTCAAAGGCACCGAACCTGAACCCAGAGAAGGTTCCTTAGAGTTTTTTTTTACTTGCTTCACCCCTCAATATAGCTTATTTCACTATTGCATCCGCCTAAAGTTTGCAGCACTTTGCATTGAGATCCTTCACTTAAATTTCTTCCAACATTTCTAAGGTGGCTGCCAACTCTTGCTTCCAGTAGTGAGCTAGTATTTATTGCCAACTCTGGAATAGCTGTGCTGGGGCTCAACGCAACAGCGAAGGGGTAGATATTTCCCTGAACTACTGCATTCTATATTCTATTGCAATTTTAAACAGCTCGAGGTTTCCCGAGCCAAGAGGCAACAGCACTGCTGTGGGACTGGAGTCATATCAGGGCAAAGCTGGGTATGCAAGGCCCACGTTAGTTACTTGTCCCTAGTTCCCCTTTAAGTAAATGGCTTGCTCGGTCATTTCCAACGCATTAGGAGTCGTCACATTGTTGTTGGCATGGAGTCACGTGTAGGCCAGACCAGGTAACATGGCAGATTAGTAAGAACTGCCGATGCTGGAGTTGGAGATAACACAGTGTGGAGCTGGAGGAACACAGCAGGCCAGGCAGCATCAGAGGAGCAGGAAAGCTGACGTTTCGGGTCGGGACCCTTCTTCAGAAAATCTGAATCAGCTTTCCTGCTCCTCTGATGCTGCCTGGCCTGCTGTGTTCCTCCAGCTCCACAGTGTGCTAACATGGCAGATTTCCTCACCTCGAGGATATTAGTGAAGCAAAGAGGTTTTACAAAAATTATTGGTTTTATGGTCACTATTTCTGACTAACTTTATATTTCCAATGTTATTCATTAAATCTTAGGTCCTGCGTGCAGCTGTGATGAAATTTAAACCTATGACCCCAGAGTATTTTAGGAATCTAGATTACAAGTCCAATAGCATTACCATAACATCATTATCTCCCTCATGGTACAGTTAGCTTTGTTTTTTCATTGCATTTTTACAGTGTAAGATAGTGATAAATTTATACTGTGTATTTCAGGATCAAGGTTACCCAGCATGTTCCCCTAATTTTTTGAAAGGCAGACGATACATTGAGTCTAAAGTTACGCTGGGGCCCTACTATGACACAGCTGACGGACTATGTCTTATGATGAGGTTGTTACAAAAGTTCCAAGGTAGTAGACAGAATTATAGATAATCTGATTAAAACGGCCTTATAAACAGGCCAATTGACCTGATGTAAATAATCAGATTTCTGATCAATTCAATTCACATATCGATTGAGTGGTTAAGAAGGCATTTAGCACACTTGCTTTCATTGCTCATACCTTTGAATACAGGAGTTGTGACATTATGCTGAGGTTGTAAAAGACATTGGTGAGACCTTTTCTGAAGTACTGTTTGTCCATTTCTGGTCCCCCTATGATAGGAAGGATGTTATTAAGCTAGAGAGGGTTCAGAAGAGATTTACCAGGATGTGGCTGGGAATGGAGGGTATGAGTTATAAGGAGAGACTGGATAGACTGGGTCGTCTTCTTAACTAAAGCGTAGGAGATTGAGGAGTGATCTTATTGAGGTTTAAAAAATCATGAGAGGTATAGATAAGGTGAATGGCGGGTGTCTTTTCCCTTGGGTGAGAAGATTTCAAGACTCAGGTATATTTTTAAGGTGAGAGGAGAAAGATTTAAAAGAAGACATGAGGGGCAGTTTTTTTTTTACAAAGAGTGATTCGTGGGTGGAATGAACCTCCAGAGGAATTGGTGAATGCAGGTACAGTTACAACGTTTTAAAGACATTTAGATAACATACATGAATAAGAAATGTTTGGAGGGATACGGACCAAGCACAGGCAGGTGGGACTAGTTTTGTTTGGGATTAGGGTTGGCTGACCGAAGGGTCTGTTTCCATGCTGTATGACTGTATGACTCAAACAAATTAAATAGTATTTCTCCTGATAACAAAAATGTGAACCTACATGTACAGTTCCCAGTTACATGGATTAGACAAAAACATTTTGAGCATGCACATTCAAGATATTGTGGCCCATTAGTTGCACAAATGGATGTGTGTTGAAGAAATCAATAAATTTTGAACTACTCATGTTTACTGCTTGCCTCCACCTGTGATAGATGTAGAACGTTCTGAGGTTGTGACTCACTTGAAGCAGTTGATGTCTTATTGGCTTTCAGCCATCTCGGTGATTCTTCTTCACAAGTGGAGTATTGTGTGCAGTTCTGCTCAGCACATTACAGGAAGGACATATTTGCTGTGAAGAGAGTGCAGAGAAAATGTGCTAGAGTACAGTTAGGTGGGGTGGATTGTAGCTACGAGGAGAGGTCCTTGGAACAGAGAAAGCTGAGGGGTGATATGATTGAGGTATACAAAAATGTGAGGGGTATTTAAAGAGAGAGAAAGACAGTATACAGGAGGAACCTGTTTCCCTTGGCAGATAGTTTGAAACTCAGGAGTCTTGGATTCAAGCTAAATGGCGGAAGGATTAAAGGGGATGTGAGGGAAAACCTTTTTATGCAGAGGGTGGTGGGTGTCTCAAATTTGCTTGAATTGGTGCTGGAGGTAGAGACTCTAAACTCTTTTAAAAGTACCTGGACCTGCATCTTAAGAGCTGTAAGCTGCAGGTCAATGGGCTGTATGCAGGAGGATGGCATTAGAAAAGGCATCTGCGTGTCTTTGTATCGGCATGGACAAGATAGGCCAGATGCCCCCTAATGTGCTGTATCAGTTCTGGAGTTCTATGATAATTGTGAGTAACTGGGATGGCTGGGACTGGGTTGGTTTGGGAGTCACCTTTTGCGGGATGGACATCGTAAGGATTTGGATCTGTTACATTGGCCAATATATCAGCATCTGTCATCATGGGGATTGATATTCTGCCATGCATTGATGTCGTCACTGTCTAATTCATCTCCAAGTATGGACCTGGTGGTGCTTAGATTAACATCCTAGTTCAAAACTGTCTTCTCACTCCTATGTACCTTTTCTTCTTCATCCTTCTCGTCATCAGCATTGCTGTCCAACTCAAATGGAATAACCTCAAGCTCTTAATACAGTTGCTTACCGGCTCTCACTGGGCACAGTTGTCTATGTAGATTCCCTCTTTCACATTGAGTTTCTTCAAGCAAGTTGTGACTGCACTTTACTGTCCACTATATCCTTGGTTACTTAGAATTCGGATTAGCTATTATTGTCACATGTACTCATATTAGTACAGTGAAATGTTTACGAGTCAAAAGTCATGAAAGGCATGGACAGGGTGAATAGCCAATGTCTTTTTCCCAGGGTAGGGGAGTCCAAAACTAGAGGGCATAGGTTTAAGGTGAGAGGGGAAAGATATAAAAGGGACCTGAGGGGAAAGATATAAAAGGGACCTGAGGGGCAACTTATTCATAGAGTGGGTGGTGTGTGCATGGAATGAGTTGTCAGAAGAAGTGGTGGAGGCTGGTATAATTACAACATTTGAAAGGCATCTGGATAGGTTTAGAGGGATATAAGCCAAATGCTGCTAATGAGGCTAGATTAACTTAGGATATTTTGTTGGCATAGACGAGTTGAACTGAAGGGTCTCTTTCTGTGCTGTACAACTCTGACTCTAAGTTGCCATGTTGGCACCGTCTTAGGTACCAAGGAACCTAGGTACTGATTCTTAAGTACAAATTCTCAGGGAAGAATAATAGAAAAATAAAGAAATAAAAGTCCAGCAATAAATTAGAAAAGTAGAGAAATAAGTGTTCAGAATAACAGTCCTTCCAACCCAGACTGCGCCAGGCTTCACCTGATGGCCAGGAGTTCAAGTCCACACTGAGGCCAGGAGTCCACACTGGCTTTCACCCCAGACATCGCCGAAACTACCTAAAGGATAGGAGATAAAAAGAAAAGTGACAAAAGAGAGATAAAAGGTAAAGAAATAGATGGAGCAAACGAATCCTACTCCACCGCCATCTTGGAGACAAATTTCTGTCATTAAAATGTGAAGGTGGATATTGGGTGATAAAACAGCAGTAACTGAGCTGTATGTCCTGCATCTTGTTCTGTTTTGTCTTGGGATGTCATTTGTCCTACGTTTCTATGGCAGTGACTGGGAGGTTGCTAGGGCTGGTGGTGGTCTCATGTCACTGTTTCTACATTTGTGCTGTACCTGTGTGTAGGTGAGTTTGGTCAGTCAGTGCCTACGTATTTCTGCTCTGTGTGTGTGTGTGTGTGTGTGTGAGAGAGAGAGAGAGAGGTGGATATCAATCAGTCCTAGTCTTTGGTTGGATTTGGAAAAAGAGACTGCTGATTGTGTCAGGTCAAGGAGGACTGAGTTGGAAAGGCATTTGTGTGGCAGTAAACGGCATATTGTATGTAGGGAGAAGACCACTGACTGGATTAAAGAGGTAGACAGTGAGTACAGCGTACAAGGAACTGTTCCTTATTTTACTTCCTCAGAGCTGGTGACCCTGGTTGATATGCTGCCTTGGTTAATGGGATAAAATTTTGCTGTGTTTGTTGGGAAAGCATTCGATCCTTTCATCACATTAGCAGATTCTGTGTGTGCAAGCCTTTTATCAAGCAGGTGATAGTTGTGTCTCCAGTGTTTGCTGGCATTTGGTCTGGACTCGTGATGGGACCAGTCTTTGGAAATTGATGGAATAATCTAGGCTTTGGCACCAAATGAGAATTACCGTGTTAGCCATTTTAGGTGTGGTGAAGTTTGATGAATTTTCTGAAGCTGACAAGTTTTGTTTCAGAGAAGAGGGCACTGTCAACCTTGTCTTTGCCTATTTGAACCCAGACATTTTGGTATCGTTTCTTGTCATGGGTGTCTTCTTTGGTAACATTTAGTAGTACACGACCACCTGGTCACCGTTATAGATATTTTTCATCGGTGCATCTTCTGCCATCTAGAATCTTCTTTAATTCAACGGGAACTGATGTTGCAGCTAGATTGTTGGCTTGGTTTTCTCTTATGAGACCTTGCAGAATACTGTACCTGTTCTTGAATCTCATTGACCATCTTTGCTGGCTCCAAACTCACTGGGAATCTGATAGTTTTATTCACTTGCTGGAAAAAAAAAACATCCTAGCTTGGGTGTGAATGACAGCAGCAGACACAGTATACCCTCAGCTCTCAGCAAGCTGAACTATGTGTGTAACAGCCTTGTCATCTTTTTGGGTGTTCTTTTTCAACTGGCCACCTGTGTCCATCGATCTCCCTCAACAGCATCTTCAGCTTCTCTTCATCTTTAACGTAGGAAATGGGAATAGGAGTAGACCCCTTGACCCATTGAGCATGCTCCACCGTTCAACTAAATCATGGCTGATCTTTCACTTAAATGTCATCCACCCATACTATCCCCATATCCCTTGATGCCTTCAATATGTAGAAATCTATCAATCTCTCTCTTGAATATACTTGATAACTGAGCTATCTGCAAAGCATTGCTTCAGCAATCCCCATTATTTTTGAAACAGATTTGAAGAGTCTCACAGTGCAGATAGGGGCCATTCACCTCATTGAGTCCACACCGACCCTCCCTAACACTGTAATTGCACATTTACCATGGCTAATCTGCCTAGTCTGCACATCTGTGGACGCTACAGTCAATTTAGCATGGTCAATCCACCTAACACACCTCTTTGGACTGTGGGAGGAGACCAGAGCACCTGACAGAAACCCATGCAGACCCAGAGAGAATGTGCAAACTCCACACAGACAGTCACCCGAGGGTGGAATCTAACCTGGGTCCCTGGTGCTGAGGTGTTTGCATAGTGCCTTCTTTCATCCAGTTGATGATTTTAGCTTCATTTCAAGTATAAATTTTTTTTCTTTTTTGAGTCAGTGGACATGATTGTATGTGGATTGTTGTCTGACAACAAATCTGTGGTTATGGGGTTAGGGAGGATGGGTCTGGGTGGGATACTGTTCGGAGGGATGGTGTAGACTTGATGGGCTGATTGCTGTCTGATAATCAGCACAAGGACAAATGACTATATCCTGAAAACACTGTTCAATTATGATGAGCAAATTTCTCTAATCCCCTTAATTAATCCCAAGGTTGCCACTTTATTTATGTTGGATGGTTTTAAGTCTAACTGAGTTTTATATCAAAAAAAATTAACTGAATACATTACTGTAAACATTATATACAAAAATGAATTTAAACAAATAAGAAATGTAAAGTGTGATTTGGAAATAAAACATTTGACAAACGGCCATTTTATGGAATTGCTTGTCAGGTAGCAATAAATTTTAGACCAAACTGCAAACCTATACTATAGCAGACCATATTATAGCAGGGCCCCAGTGTAATATTTACTTGCAGTTTGGCAAGTATAATGACTGATTTATGCAGCATTTTATTTATATTTAATAGCAAAATGTCCCAAGTTTCTTCTCAGTTGGTTGTGTTGAGATTATACAGGATGGTGGTGGAAGCAGATTACTTAGCTTCTTGGATTTATTTTAAAACAGCACACAAAATTGTTGCTCCATCCATGGGGTAGGGGGCTTGGACATAGGGGAGTTTGGGCCCTAAAATTATTGAACTCAATATTGAGTCCAGAGGGCTGTTGGGTCCCCAAGCAGAAATTGAGGTGGTGTTCCTCCAGCTTGCATTGGGTTTTGCTGGAACACTGCAGCAAGCCATAGACAGAGATGTTGGCCAGGGAGCAGGGTGGTGCGTTAAAGTGACGGGCAACAGGTAGTTCACGGTCTTTTTTGCGAGCAGAATGTAGATGTTCTGCGAAGCGGTCGCCAAGTCTACGCTTTGTTTCCCCAATGTAGAGGAGACCACATTATGAGCAGCGAATGCAGTAAACTAGATTCTGGGAAGTGCATGAAAGGTATGTTTGGGCTCTTGGATACTGGGGAGGGAGGAGATAAATGGGCAGGTGTCTCACCTTCGCCGGTTGTGGGGGAAGATGCCATTGGGCTGTGGGGAGGTGTTCGGGGTGAAGGAAGTGTGGACCAGGGTGACCCGGAGGGAACGGTCCCTGCGGAAGGCGGACAAGGGAGGGGAGGGGAATGGAGTCTTTACAGGAAGTGGGGTGTGAGGATGTATAGTCCAGGTGGATGCTGGTGGGCTGGTAAGTAAGGATAAGGGGAACCCTATCGCTGTTGCGGGAGGGAAGAGAAGGGGTGAGGGCGGAAGTGTGGGAGATAGGTCGGACCTGGTTCAGGATCCTGTCGACAACTGAGCTGGGGAATCCTCGATTGAGGAAGAAGGTGGACATTTTGGAGGCTCCCTTGTCGAAATTGACAGGTGGACTATACATCCTCACACCCCACTTCCGGTAAAGACTCCATCCCATTTTCTCAGTTCCTCCATCTCCGTCACATATGTTCAGATGAGGCTGTTAAAAACTGAGATTAGAAGCTGCCTGTTTCCTACAACAATGACTTGTACTTCTTTTGACTGGTAAGTACATTGAGATGTTACGAGAGGCAATTTATAAGTACAGACTTGACATTTATTCTCTGGTCCAAAACAGCTGAATGCAAAGCTTGGACACTGGCAGAGCTTCCACATTTGGTTGGGGTGAGGGTGGGTTGTGAATTAAATTGTTCTGCCCCCAAGATTACTTGTGACTTGAGAATCTAAGCAGCACAGGTATTTAAATTCTGACAAAACTCTAACATTTAACATCTACATTTTTACAGACTAACAAATGGAATGCTGTAAACGATTGACCATATGTTCATTTTTCCATGATGTGGTATTAACTTGTTTCAGTTTGTTTTGTGGGAATTTCTAATAAAAATCATTACTCATCAACCAGACTTCAGATTTTAAACAGTCATATCAAAAGACTTCACTCAAGTCTGTGGACTTCAAGAATGTTTGACTTAAGGGATCTGAAGGTACAGATTCCAAATTGTCCCGTAACATATTAACCTCAAGGTCAAAAATCACCAGGTTATAGTCCAACAGGTTTATTTGAACATATTCTGTTCAAAAAGCACACAGTTTGTTGACACAATCAGTCAATGGGGCATTTTATAAATTCCTGCTTTGCAGAAACACAGACAGATTCTAAACAAGGACTCACACCTAAAGTGCATTTGTCTGACATGAGATGTCACCTCTTGTATATTCTGATAAAACCTTTAGTTATTTCAGGGCAGTGACTTGAAAGAAAGACTTGGGATTTACATCTTAATCAATCAAAACCTGCATCTCCTTTCTAACTGAGTAAAGATTTAACAGAAGGGAGTCAGCCAGCCATTTTAGGCTTATTCAATACATTCGCATCAGCTATATGATCCTTTGATCTTTTACTTATAAATTCTGTGTCTTGATACCACCTCTCTCATTACACCTGAGGAAGACACAACACTTCAAAAGCTAGTGTGTTTAAATAAATCTGGCCTTGTCCAACCCAGTCCAATGCTGGCACCTCCACAACATATTAACCTGGCAGCGGAGGCTCACATCACAAATAATGACCATATTCAGTAGCACAGCCACAATAATTTGCCTTACATTCCTTTTCTAAGCAAGCAGGGTACTACCACTCTGGAAGCTCATCACAAAGTTTGGGTTTTCAAACCAAGTAGCTCAGAAGCCTGCAGCAGTAGGGATAATCTATTCCTGATGTATATAGACTCCCCCACCCTCCGTTATGCCATTCCCTGCAGGTGACTCACAGATTAGCAAAAGCAAATGTTAGCGAAAATTCCAATTGCACAGAAATCTGGAAATTGTACCAGGTTCCCAACTCGGGATAACACAGAAATTCAGACCTGCATTTATATAGCATTTCTCACAAGCACAGGCAATCTTCTTAGCCAGTGAAGATATTCTGAAGGATGGTCAGCATTGGAATTCAGCGAATTCAGCAATGCAGAGCCAATTTCCACAAACTGCAATGTGATAATGACCAGATAATCTTTTTTGACAATCTTGAGTGAAGGATAACTGCTGAGGGTGATCCATCAGGGTGATGAGCCAAGGCCAAAGGAATAAGTATTCCAACATTCTTAAAAAAAAAATTAGGAGAGGAAATTGGATAAAGTAAGAGGTTTTGGTTCAATGATGTTTCAGAAACCTGTTAGCTTTTACAGGACATCTGAGAAGAAATGGACACTGGTTCGGAGAACAATAATGGAATATTTGCCAGTATGCTAATAAGATTTGTATAAGCATTTGACCATTGCTACATATGTGATTTACTTGAACTGGGTGTGGTTTCCTTCAATTCACACTTTTTTATTTGTCCTGTTTCTCAAGGTATTGAACCTGGGCACATCCCTAACAGTACCAATATCCCCTTTAATATGTTCATGGATCCAGAGACTCTGAGGATGAAGAGTGAAAAGGAGCTGCAGCGCTTGTTTGAGGATCACAATATTGACCTGAAGAAACCACTGGTAGGGACCTGTGGCACCGGGATCACTGCCTGCTTTGTCGCTCTTGGTGCCCACCTCTGTGGGAAAGAAGATGTGATGATCTACGATGGCTCCTGGCTAGAGTGGTTCGCACGAGCCGACCCCAATCACATTATCTCAGAGAGAAATGAGAAAATCAAATAGGTAGCACTGAAATCAATGTTTTAGATTGTGCTGTTCCAGTATCAAGATTAGTAGATAATTTGGGAGTTCTATTTGAGTAGCCAAGGAGTCTACCTTTTATGATGTTGGAGGTAGGATGAGGATATCAATTAAAATCAAGCAACTACTTCAAAGGTTCAATCTATTCCCTGTTAGAAGGGTTCTCTGGGCACTTAGCAAGTGTTCTTCTGTGTATACATGGCAACAGTCAATGGCCCTGTTTTGTAATGTTGCTTCAGTCATAATTGTATATTTCTCAAGTGATGATTTGCCTGGAGACTCAATCTTTTTCACAAGATGCAGAAGGGTGGTCTAGAACAGCTTTAAGTGCTGAGTCAGTGATAGAATGTTGGAGTGAGATGCCTGACCATGAAGGGAAATGAATCCATTTCTCGGTAAGGTTTGGCACCTTCCAGAATCATTCACAGTTTTGTTTCTTGCCATGTTTGTTTGAAGCACTATGTTGTTATTTCCTGAAGATGCTAGACGTGCTGAAGCTGAGTGTCCGCTGAATTTCAAAATGCTTCTCAGTGATTTCCTCCTTGAATGCAGTGACTGCTCTGTGTGTAGCCAAGATTTCAATGTGAGACCAGATGACTTTTGATGAATATTGGATGCCAGAAGTTGAAATATGAGTCTGGCATATCTTCCCTTTCTAAGTGAAATTGTTTGTTATCGAGTCAAAGTTCCCTTTGTTATTAACATTGTAAACTGTAAACTGTCTCAGCCTATGTTAATAGGACGTCACTTGTGGGTCAGAAGTTAGTTTACTTATGCTGCATCCAACTGTGTGAGAGAAATGACGGGTAAATCTCTGTTCTATTCCTTATCTAAGCCACGCAACTGAAAATTCAAAACATTTCCCCTCAGCAAGGAAGAAATATAGTAGAGAGGAATAACACTTCGATAAACTCTGCATCCTAACCAGACTTGCTGTATAGAAACTGAGACTATTTTCAGGGCAAGTGTGTATCTAATCTCCAGTTCCAAGTTGTTAAATTGGAAATAAGTTGACAGTAAAGCTGGTCTTAATTGCTGAATAAGTAGCATCCGTGTTAAATCCAAAGTTTGCATGCAGTGACCAATTCCTGACATTGCAATGAAACCTGGTTCTTTCAATAGCATTCTGAATATTTTCCAGCAGCATGTTCTGGCTGGTTATCCATCTTTGTATACCTAATACATACCAAATGTGCCTCTGACCTTCTCAGTTTTCCACACAGGCCAAGTGTGCTGTAATGTAGATTTATAGTATAAATTGGAAAAGGAGATGGAACATTATGCAAAAAAAGCCTTCCTTGTACACCTCACTGTGATTAAAAGAAATAATGCTACAGGCGTTGGCAAATCAATACCAAGGTAATCTAATTTGCTGCTGTAACAATCTTCCCTCTGGCTACTTGAAATGTTTAATTAAAAGCTTGAGTTTTGAAGGATTTGTGTGAGACAAATATGTCCAGATTACTTTCAAGAGAACCTTAATTAAGATGAATATTCAAAGAGGGAATGAGGGCATTAGTGTTACTGCATAAATTTGATGAATTGTTTAATGTGTACCTGAAAATAGAAAGTAGATAAGATACAATGAGAAGTCAAACAATCTGAAGAATTCAATTAGTCTGTAACAGACAACCAACTGAGTTTGCAGCAACACTATAGGGCTCAGTGTTGTGGCTTTCTTCCCATGAGTTTTCAGTGCTACACTCTACATTCAAAAGTATCAATTGCGTGTGTCTGGAAATTCCTCTGTAATGTGGACAAAGAAAATAGATAGTGGAATTTCTGCCAATGACGTCCACCTTCTTGGTTAGCTGGCTTGGTTGTGGGTTCAAGTCCACATCAAAAACTTCCAGAATAAAATCTAGACTGACTCTACAATGCAGCATCCAAGGAGTGCTGCACTGCCAGAAATACCCTGTCTCTAGTGAGACATTAAACCAAGGCCTTGAATACAGTCTCAGATCAAAGCAAGAGGAAAATAAACAACATTAGAGCTTCAGGTCATTAACTTTCCACTGAAAGGAGTGTTAATACTTTTTTGTAGGTTAATTGCTAATTGTGTCCCTGACCCAATGAATGCCAATTGTAATCATTTCAATAAAATTAATTCAGTTGAGTAAGTATTTTTATTTGATTCCTTTTGCATCAAAGATCAAAGGTATAATAGCAGTCTTTGCTGTGTATTTTCTGTTGCGGGGGAATCAGAACATTGCATTAAACACCATTTTTAGAAATGGGTTAGATTTTACTTACAGTTCATTTGGTCCAACTGTTATCCTTGCTGTCAAGGCAAGTAATAATGAAAAGGTTGTAGGTTGTGAATTTTATCTCTCCGAACCCAAAGCCTCAAATGTGCTCCTTCTGTAACCAAGGTATGCAGAACCAAAATATTTGATGAAAAAGGGAGAGTGGAGCAAGACGGAATGTAGTAGTACCTAACAGTACAGCAAGGAGAATTGACACTGTTCTCTGCAGCAAAGAATGTGTATCCTGACAACTGTATTATCTGCCCAGTGCCAGGCTTGAGGGTGTCTGCCCTAGGCTGACGAGAAACCTGCATTGAAAAGGGAGGAATTCAGTAGTCATGGTGTTAAATTAATAAACAGAACCTAATAGGTCCAAATTTCTGGATTATTATTCAAGGCATATGCAAATTGGCATAGAGTGAATAAGGTAAGAGAAATTAATGCATGGTTCAAAGACTGGGAGAAGTGGGTGCCAGTTCATGGGGCACTAGCACCAACATGGGAGAAAGTACAGTTTGTCCTATTGGAATAGTTCAGGTGTACACTATGCTGGGACTGGTGTTCCAGTGAGTTGCATAGCTAGGGACAATGAAAAGGGCTTTAAACTAAACAAGGCATTGAGGGGTCAAGTTTGGTGGGTGTAGCAAAACAATGTAGAGTCGAGACAGGTGATCAAATTCAGAATATGGCAAATGAGGGTCAGAGAATTGCAGGAAGGCACAGGGAGTGGGAAAAAAAAATCTAACAATGCATCAACAGTCAGGATTACATGACATAAATATAGCAAAAAGACAAAACCAAGGCATTTTCTGAAACAAACAAAAACAAATTGTTGGAGAAACTTATTGGTCAGGCAGCATCTGTAGACAGTAGGCAAAGTTAACGTTTTTAGTTCAGTGACCCTTCATACCTGAAAGCAGCTAGGAAAAGGTGGTATTTCTGCTGATGACATGGGAATTGGAGGGTGAAGGAGAGAGTGGACAGATAGGGAAGAAGTCCAAAGAGAAAAATGAACGATAGGCAGACAAAGTTATTGTTGGTAAACGGGGGAAGAAAAGAAGCTAGCTAAGTGATAATGGTCTACATCTACTCCATGTCTTGCGGTCAAATGTTGAAGTAACATTAGCTCCACCCAATCTGATGCTGTCACAGTTTTTGCGAAAAGGTGATTTGAGTTATTGCTGAGTACTTGAAGGGATTAAATGTATGTTCTTGCAAGTCCTGATGAGGAATGCAAAATGTATTAATTGCAGACTTCACCTGATGATGGGGCAGCACTCGGAAAGCTTGTGCTTTTAAATAAACCTTTTGGATTATAACCTGGTGTTGTGCGACTTCTGACTTTGTTGACCCAGATGGACTACACCCCAGAGTTCTTAAGGAGATAGCTAAAGAGATAGTGGAGGCATTAGTGTGGTGATCTTTCAGAAATCGCTAGAGTCAGGGAGGGTCCCAGAGGACTGGAAAATCACTAACGTGACACCCCTGTTTAAAAAGGGAGTAAGGCAAAAGACAGGCAATTACAGACCGATTAGCCTTGGTTGTGAGTAAGATTTTGGAGTCTGTTGTGAAGGATAAGATTTCTGAATACTTGGAAGTGCATGGTAAAATGGGTAAAGTCAGTATGGCTTCATCAAGGGGAGGTCATGCCTGACAAATCTGTTAGAATTCTTTCAGGAGGTAACGAGCAGGTTAGAGAAAGGAGAACTAATGGATGTTATCTACCTGGACTTCAAGAAGGCCTTTGACAAGGTGCCGCACAGGAGGCTGCTGAGTAAGATAAGGGCTCATGGTGTTAGAGGCAGGGACTAGCATGAATAGAAGATTGGTTGTCTGGCAGAAAGCAGAGAGTGGGGATAAAAGGGTCTTTCTCAGGATGGCAGCTGGTGACTTGTGGTGTTCCACAAGGGTCAGTGTTGGGACCACGACTTTTCACTTAATACATTAATGATCTAGATGAAGGAACTGAGGGCATTCTGGCTAAGTTTGCAGACAATACAAAGATAGATAGGGGGACATGTAGTATTGAGCAGGCGAGGAGGCTGCAAATGGATTTGGACAGGTTAGAAGAGTGGGCAAAGAAGTGGCAGATGGAGTATAATGTGGGAAAGTGAGGTCATGCACTTTGATAACAAGAATAGAAGCATGGACTATTTTCTAAAGGGGGACAAAATTCAGAAGTCTGAAGTGCAAAGAGACTTGGGAGTTCTAATCCAGGATTCTCTCAAGGTAAACTTGCAGGTTGAGTCAGCTAGGAAGGCAAATGCTAGTTTGGCATTTCTTTTGAGAGGACTTGAACATAAAAGCAGGGATGTACTTCTGAGGCTCTATAAGGCTTTGGTCAGGCCACATTTGGGGTATTGTGTGCAGTTTTGGGCCCTATATCTCAGGAAGGATGTACTGGCCCTGGAGCAGGTTCAGAGGAGGTTCATGAGAATGGTCCTAGTAATGAAAGGCTTAGCATATGAGGAATGTTTTGAGAACCATGGATGTATACTCGATGGAGTTGAGAAGGATGAGAGGGATCTAATTGAAACTTACAGAATACTGAATGGCCTGCACAAAGTGGATGTTGGGAAGATGTTTCCATTGGTAGGAGACTAGGACCTGGGGGCTTAGCCTTAGAGTAAAAGGAAGACCTTTTAGATCGGAGATAAGGAGAAACATCTTCAGCCATAGAGTGGTGTGTTTATGGAATTCACTGCCACAGAAGGCTGGGGAGGCCAGGTCTTTTTAGTATATTTAAAACGGAGATAGATAGGTTCTTGATTGTCAAGGGGATCAAAGGTTACAGGCAGAAAGCGGGAGAATGAAGTTGAGAAACTTATCAGCCATGATTGAAGGGTGGAGCAGACTTGATGGGCTGAATGACCTAATTTCTGCTTCTATGCCTTATGGACCCCGGTCCGACACCGGCATCTTGACATAATGTACTAATTGTTATCACATAATAAGCCACCTTGACAACCAAAGACGAATGTTTCTTCTCTTTAGAACCAATGATCTCTTCTCTACCACTAATAATTAGACAGAACCTGGAAATAGTATAAACAAAGGAGGAATGGTGGCAGCGAACTACCTCGATCACCGTTAGCCCAGTACCAAATAACATGAAATCAAAATATTCCTAAATTCATACGTTGCCACAAATCGAATAAAAAGTCAGTTCTGAAATCATATCCAACTCGAGACATATTTTTTCTCCACAGATATTACCAGACCTACTGGGTTTCTCCAGTACTGTCCTTTTAGTTGAGGTTTCCAGCCTCTGAAGTATTTTTTGTGCCTTTTTTTAAAAATAAACCAGGCCGTTCTAATGCAATGTCGCTAGGGGAGACGACACTGTTGAGCCTGCAACTAGACAGTTAGTCTTCCGGTGCTTCAGGGGGCGCTGTGGGGTGGGTTTGCCGCGGTTTGGTCGTCTCTTGGCCTCGCTGTTCCGTCCTGGGCTTTCAGAGCGGCTGGAGGAAGGCGGCCGGCGACTGTAACGGCTCCAAGCAACGAGGCGATGTCGGCAGCGCTGGTGAGGAAGGGGCTCGAGTTAATGAGCCAGGATTTGAGAGGTTTGTCTACCGGGCGAAGAGTCGCCGGGTTAATTTTAAGCCGCCAGTCTGTTCGTTCGCGCCTGGCTTCGGGTGGGCCGTGAACTCGGAGGCAACGGTTCCGACCTCCCAACACAAGGGGGCGCTTTGTCCTGTTTCTGCAGCGCCCTCTGTCGCCAGATCAGAGATGAGCAGCCTCTGACATTGGAACTTGGGCTTCCCAAAGTGGGAAAAGTTGTGAAGAGGAGTCAGTGGAGTCTGAAATGTTAAATCTATTTTTTCTGTCCACAGGTGCTGCCAGACTTGGTAAGTTTCTCCAGCAATTTCCACCAGAAATAGGAACAGGAGTAAGCCGTTTAGTCCTTCGAAACTGCTTCTCCATTCAACAGGATCATGTCTGATCTCAAATTCCTTGCATCCACATTCCTGCCTTTTCCCCATAACCCTCGATTCCCCTACTGATTAAGAATCTATCTGTCCCAGTCTTCAATATGCACAACGTGGAGATGTCGGTGTCTGACTGAGGTGGACAAAGTCAGAAGTCATACGACACCAGGTTATAGTCCAACAGATTTATTTAAAATGACAAGCCTTTGGAGCACTGCTCCTTTGTCAGATGGAGTGATTCCTGACGAAGGAGCAGCGCTCTGAAAGCTTGTGATATTAAATAAACCTGTTGGACTGTAGCCTGGTGTCGTGTGACTTCTGACTTAAATATACACAAGGACTCCAGCCCCACAGCTCCTTCCTTAGATAAAGGGACCAAAACTTCTCAGTGCTCCAGATGTATTTCCATCATCAGTTTGTACAGCAGCAGTAGGACCTTCCCTACTCTTGTACTCTGACTCTCACAAAATAAGGGCCAACAGTCCATTAGCCTTCCTGATTGTGTTTCTCCCCTAGGTGGGGCCCAGCACTCCAAATGGGTCACAAGCTGAAATCTTAGGGTTGTGAGCCCTGAGGTGACAATGGCCACCATGGAGCACTGACCTTGTTATAGCTGTGCTCCCTCTCACGGAGACTGCCATATGGTTGACATTTGACAGATTGTGGCTATGCATTTGACTCTGCAAATCCAAGAATGAATGGTATCTAGGACACTGGTTCTCAAACCTTTTTGGTGGAAAGAATTCCTTTCAATTGGTCTACTAATCACAGAACCCACCCCCTGCCCCATCTAAGTTTTCCTTGTGCTGCTCTTACTGCTTCTCCATCTGAACTGCTCCCCCCCCAGCCAAACAAACAGTGTGGTTACGAGAGCAGGTCAGAGATTGGGAATTCCACACAAGTAACTCTCCTTCTATTGACCATCAGGTCAGGAGTGTAATAGAATACTCTCCACTTACCTGGGTGGAGTACAGCTCCAACAACACTCAAGAACCTTGACATCAGCCAGGACAAAGCAGCCTGCTTGATTGGCACTCCATCTCCAATCCTTGATCTTCACTCTCTCCAGTCCCAACACACACTAGCAGTAATTTGTATAATCTATAAGATGCGCTGCATCAACTCAGAATCACAGAATTGACGTGGTACAGAAGCAGGCTGTTTGGGCCATCATGCTGGCACGGTGCATTCACCAGCCAGCACCTTCCAGACCTTTGATCTCTATGACAAAGAAGGACAAGGGTAGCACATGCACAAGCCTCTCATTCCTGACTTGGAACTATATCATTGTTCCTGAGTCAAATTCCTGGAACTCCCCTCCTAACAGTATTGTGTGTATGTGCCTAAACCCCAAAGCTTGCTGTATTTCATGAAGGTGGCACACCATCACGTTCTGAAGGTCTTTTACAAACAGACAAATGCTGGCCTGGCCAGCAAGTGACCCCACATCCCTAGAAAGTACTTTTTAAAAATCTGGTGGACCACCAGCCCACTGCGCTGGACATTTGATGGTCATACTCCACTCCTGTTTCCTGGACTTCCCGGAATGTCTCTACAAAGCCACAGGATCTATAGACCTCAGTTCAAGAGCCATTGATCTGGGGCAGAGCAGTACCTCCAGGCTATGAAATGGAGTTTAGAGACCATTATTTTAACTATCCTTCCCAGTTATGATTTTTCTCTGCCTATGAAAATCGGGAGCAACCTTAGCTCACAGAAAAGGAAATTCAGTTGATCCCAGTGCCACTTTACTTCTAGATGCTCTTTATCCAGTTTGAGTGGCTTGAATTTGATTGGGAAGTTCTTGTCCTGATGCTGGGGAAATGAAACCAAACTTTGCCCTGCTGTTTCAGATAAAGGGAGGAGCAGGAAGGCTATTCCCAGGCACACATCTAGCGCTGACCGTTTGCACCTAGTTAATACAAACAAGAAGGGAACAAAAAAGCAATTAAAGAGCCTGCAGGGACAAGGGAAGAACAAGAGCAAAGCGACTGTCAAGGGCAAGGTTGTTAAATCAGCATTAGGTAAGCCACATGCTTGTGTTGGTTTTAGTATCTTTCTCTGTAGGTTTGTGTGTGCTCTTTCAGTTAATTAGCCCCATCTGCTCAGAGTTTGAATGTAAGGAGCAGGAGTTGGCTGTTTGCCCCCTCTAGCTTACCCTTCTCCATTCAATAAGACTATGGCTGAGCTGATCTTGCACTTAGCTCCATTTAATTGTCAAGCCCTCTAACCCTTGACTCCTTTATCAATCAAGAATCAATCACTGTCTCAAATGTATTCAATGTCTCAAACCCCACTACAATTAGAGAATAGGTCAAATGTGTATGCAGTATTCTGGGTGTGTTCCCATGAATTGGTGAGATCACTTTTGGAGTACTGTGAACAGTTCTGGTTGCCTTACTGTAAGAAGGATATTATTAAATTGCAGAAAAGATTTATAAAGATGTTACTGGGATGGGAGGGTTTGAGTTATATGGAGAGGCTGGGACTATTTTCACTGGAGTGTAGGAGGTTGAGGGATGACCTTATAGAGGATTATAAAATCATGAGGGACGTAGATAAGATGAATAGCAAAGGTCTTTTTCTTAAGGTAGGGGAGTTCAAAACTAGAGGGCATTGTTTAAGGTGAGGAGAAAGATTTAAAAGGAATCTGAGGGGCAACTTTTTCACACATTCATATTGTGAAACGAACTGCCTGAGGAAGTGGTAGATACAGGTACAGTTACAACATTTAAAAACATTTGGACAGGTGCATGAATAGGAAAGGTTTAGAGGGATGTGAGCCAAACGCAGGTTTAGTTTGGGAATCTTGGTCAGCATGGATGATTTGGACTGAAGGGTCTGTTTCCGTGCTGTATGACTCTATAACTCCAAGTGTCCTGTGTACTTGTATCCACTATATACAAACAGGTTGGGGCCATTCAGCCATCAGTCCTGTTCTGCCAATCAATTAGATCATGGTATATGTCTCTTTTTTAGATAATTTTAGGGAGGTATTCTGATTCTTTGACTCCTGTAATGGTTTCGGGATTGTGATATATCAAAGAGGTGAAATGGACTGTCCAGGGCATTTGAGGAACCTAACAGTGTGGAGAAATGGAAGGGTAGGTTGTTTAGACAGTGAAAGCAGAGGATAATTGAGAGGGATCACTCTATGACCCTAATGTCCTTTTGTTCTGATAAAATTTCTGGATCTCATGTACTGGTCAGTAACAGTCAAATGGACTAATTAAAATAAACAGATTAATGACTTGGTCGTAATTCGGGCATCAAGTTTACACCAACACGCTAACAGTGATGTTGTATTCAGAGGATTAAACCACCTCAGCAGTGGAACACTGAAAAACGTCTGGAACATGAAATATATGGGTCACACGGATCGATCATACCAAAAGCTATTGAACAAGTCATGAGCCTGTCTCCAAAGGCTAGGATGAGTGGTGCCTGTCCACACCAAGATTATGATGTGGCAAGGCACTCACCCACTCTCACTGCCTGCCATATGCCTTTCGGAAGGATTTACAGATTGCTAATTAACTTGTTCAGCCACATTACAAACTCACCTTCACATGACCATCAAATCCTTAACGGGTTCACGAACCCAAAATCTGACCCAGAGGTAGGAGCTCTGTCCACTGCACCACAAGACCACCTGTTGCTATTTTGCCTAGTTTTCCTTTACATTTCCCTACACCATAAACCACAATGCTCCATTTGGCGATGAGTTCTACATTCTAACTAATTTGTTGTTAAATTCCCTACTGATTTATCAGTGACTGACATATCTGTTCTGTACATCCTACATTTGACTTAGTATTTATGGTAGTTACACATCTGAGCTAATGTGAGTCTTGTTTGCTTTCTTAGAGGAGTATTGGAAGAAAAAGGCTGCAGATCACACAGAGGAAAATCTCCAGTACATGCTCGGTGCCAGGTTCCTTACTGAGAGCAAAGTGACTAAAAAGGTGAGGGTTTCTAATAGATCGCTTTCTCACTGTCTCCCACATGTGTCAGATGATTGTAGATTGAAGTCCTACCCAGAAGAAACTTTGTTGATGAAACCAGATGCTGAAGCTGTATTAGACAAGCCTGGACAACAGACTAGGCTCATAAGAATGTGTCAGTCACGGTTCAGTGGGTCGCAGTCTAACCTCAGAATCTTACTGTAGAGGCTGAGAGACTGCTGCACTGAGAGAGGTTAAACCTTTCGGATTTGACCTCAAACCAAAGTGCTGTCTTCCTTCTCAGGTGACTGTAAAAAAAAATCATGCGGCTCTATTTTGAAGAAAGGCATGGGAGTGCACCCTGTGCCAATACTTACCTCTCAACTAAAATCATTAAAACAGATGATCAGCCCTTTCTAAATGAAAGGAGAAAGACTTGCATTTCTATAGTGCCTTTCACCACTACAGGCCCACCCAAAATGCTTTACAGCCAGTGAAGTACTTTTTGAAATGTCTGTCACTGTTGTGATGAAGGGAACTTGGCAGCCAATTGATACACAGCCAGATCCTACAGACAGCAGTGTAACAACAACCAAATTGTGTGCCTTAGTGATGTTAATTGAGAGATAATTATTGACCAGGACACTGGGGTGAACACGCGTGCTGTACACCTTATCCAAGACCTATGGGAATGTAACCAAATGTGGGACTAATGATATCACATTGATGACCCAAATGGCCTCCTTCCCCTGTATTATTCTGCGATTCTGTGAATGGTGTTATGTAAATATAAAGCTATTGCCTCTTCCAGTTTATCACACAGGCTGCCAGAGAAGACTGACGTGGAAGTTAACTCTCAACATAAAATTCTAATTTTTTTAAAAATTAATTTTAGGTCTTGAATTACAGTCAAGGAAGGAAAGCGAAGGATCGCCCAGAGGAAAAGGAAGTGAAGAAGGAAGAGAAGAGCATATTCACAGAGAGTGACTTTAGAAAGTTTGAGAGAGAGTATTTTGGGGCACCTTAACCTTGACTTTTGGTGAAAAGAGTGGACAAGCAGGCTTCAGTTGTTGGGGGAGAGATCAGACCACGACATCACAAACCTTGTAAGCAACGCCTACCTCAAGTCTTAATCATGAAGACTGTCCTGGGGACTGATCTGATCCGTGAGTGAGAGCAAGAGAGACCTAACGAGGAGAGAAAATCCAGTTCATCCCAAGATTGAGACCTGCCAGCATCTGCTAGTCATTTATTTAGTTGTTAAAACCTTGCGTTCTCCTTTTCTGTGTTTCACATCAACATGCAAACATTTGTGTTAAGCAAAGAGTAAACCTTGCATTGTACCAGATTACTTGCGCTTATCACTAGAATGCTATGTCTAACACTGTGTCTCCCAATCTTTCTCCCACTGAGAGTATAGGATCTTGTTTGATAGGGAGCTCGGTTGTTCTAACTCGGTTGAAGCTTCTTGCTGCCAAACAGCTCACAACCCCACTTAGGGTCGCAAATCCCATTTGGGAAACCCTGGTTTGACAAGCACCACCATTTATGTAACCTTTAGCTCCCAGTCACGTCACGGTTTTTATTCATGGAACAGGAACGCTCGGAGATAATTTCACACTTTCTCTTCCAGTCCACCACAAACCATCCTAAAGAGGACAGCCATCTTGCTGGTTTATCCAGGCAGGTAGACCAGGATGCTAAATTTCAAGCCTAGTCTTTGCTGATCTCTGGGGTGGCTACCATTCACTGCGTTGCCCCTGGCGCTAAGGTTCCTGCTCCTTAGCACTATGAGATAAACACATGGGATAACGCCTACATGTGGACATCAAATATGGATGAAATTGGGCAGAATTGTGATCCCTGTCTCTTCTGCATGATCTTCACACTCATTGTTAAGGCTAATTCCTGAAGAATGGTAATGTGACTGAGATAGGATGAAGACTTTGACTGAACAATTAATGACACCCCTGCCCCTGCATCTTCCCTCTCCTTGTTAAACTTCCAGTGTTTTCAAAACAGGAAGTATAAAGTTCAGAAAACAACTCACATCTCATTTATTCTGAAGATTGCACCTTTGATCAATACCTCACATAAGATTGAAACCATGGTTAATTTCAACCCTGTTATCCTCTTCATTCTTTCATGGGATATGGTATTGCTGGCCCATTCCTAATTGCCCTAGAACTGAGGGCAGTTTAAGAGTCAACCACAATAATCCCTGCTTAATGTGCTGGAGTCATGGGTTCATTCCCAACTTGGCAGCTGGTGGAGTTTAAATGCAATGGATGAATAAATCTGGAATATAAAGCTAGTTTTAGTAGCAGTGACCATGGAACTATAATCAGTTATCATGAAAAGACCGTCTAGTTCACTAATATTATGGAGGAAAGAGACCTGCCCTCTGAAACAGTTTAGCAAGCCACTCAGTTCAAAGGCAACTGGGGATGTGCAGTAAATGCTGGCCTGGCCAGTGAGACCGATATCCCATGAAAGAATAAATAAAAAGATTGCCCCCAGCAGCTGCTGTCACCAGTGAGCTACACTGTGTTGTTACACAGATCAGAATTAATTCTTGGTAATAAACCTTATCTCTGGCCTCACTTGAGTCACAGCATTCTGGGTTCAAGTCTGACCACAGGACCTGAAAGCAAAGATCAAGGCTGACACTCCAGTGCAGTACTGAGGGGAGGCTACACTCATACAGGTGCCTTCCTTCAAATGTGAAGTACATCTGCACAATCAATTGAATATAAAATAGGCCGTAACACCATGTTGAAGAAGAGAAGGGATGTCATTCCTCGTTAATTGGACAATATTTATCAAGCAATTAATGTCTCAAAAACAAAATAGACAATCTGATTGTTATTACCCTGCTGTTCATGGGAGCTGGCTGTGTGTAGATTGGCTGACGTGTTTCCAGCAATATGACAGTGACTGTAAGAACCTTTAGTGGTTGTGAACAGTGCTATATAAATGCAAATCTGTCTTTGTTTGTGAAGCTGGATTTTTTTTAAATCTAGATTGAGGTAACGTGATATGAAAGTTAATACACACTCACCACTGAATTTGGATTTAACATGAAAGCATAGCTGCTGACATATCTTTGGCTTGCATTGTAAATGTATTTCGTTTTCCCTCCCATCTCTCTAGACTTTTAAGCCCCAGTTTGTGTTGGGAGATGCAGGGCAGAGCATGCATGACAATGCCTTCTGTCGAGAATGGTGAGGATCTAATTACATTTAAAAGGCATCTGGATGGGTACACGAATAGGAAGGGTTTGGAGGGATATGGGCCAAATGCTGGCAAATGGGATTAGATTAATTTAGGATATCTGGCCAGCATGAATGAGTTGGACCGAAGGGTCAGTTTCCATGCTGTATAGCTCTATGACTTTGACTACAGTCATACAACCTTTAGTGACTGCAGTACATGCAAGAGTTCCACATGACCACAAAAGTGAAACCCCACAAAAGAATTCAGGAAAACCTGATTATTAGAAATCCACCTTCCATTTCCTACACCTATCACTTTGGATATTTCTATTGTAGCCCTGTTTTCATCCAGAGCATCAGAAAAAGCAAGTTGTGTTACTGCTTCAGGAGGGTCTCTTCCACCTGCCCACGAACTTCTAACTGAGCTCTCCCCAAGACACTATATGACCATAAATGTAGGACCAAAAGTAAGCCGTTCAGCCCATCAAGTCTGCTGTTCGTTTTGGGGCGATCAGTGTGTCCAGCAATTCTTCTTAAAACTGCTATTTGCTTTGCAAATCCTGTTGCACTAAAGGGACTTAAGAAGCTCTGTATAGAGACCGGAGCATTTTCAATTATATGTATGGAATTGATCATAGTGAGGATTTTGATTAGTAGATAACTGAATACAAGCTAGTTAAAATGTAGAAAAAAGTAATTAAAAAGGCTTATGGAGTGCTAGTCTTCATCACAAAGAAACCTAGGACAAAGAGTGGAGTCACTGTACAGTTGTATAGCATTAGAGTCCATCTGGAACTGTGAGTGGTTTTCGGCATGTCACTTCAGGAAGACTTTGGAGTTCATTGCAGGTTTATCAGCATGCTACCAGGGTGAACAAGTTAAATTATAATAAATTGTGTTTTTTGAGCTTGTGTTCCCCCGAGTCTAGATCAAGGGGTGATCTCATTGAGGTATTTTAGCATTAAAGGATTTTTAAGTGATTGTTCGATTTTCTTTTCCCCCCTCTGATTGGAGAAACAGGTATCATAGCCTTAAAATTAGAGGTCAGCCATTCAGGGTAACCTCCACAAAGAGGGAAGTGAAAATCTGGAACAAAGAAAGTGCTGGAGCAGCTGAACAAGTCTAACAGCAGCTGTTGAGAGAAAAACATAATTAACATTTTGAGTCCAGTGACCCTTCATCAGAAAAGAAAACCTGGACCTCCCCCCAAAATGGTGTTGAATCTGGTGTCAATTAAAAATCACAAATGGAAATTGTTGAGTGTTACAGAATCAAGGCAGGTGGATAAGATGCACATTAGTTGCAATCTAATGGATTGGTGGAACAGGCTTGATGGGCTGAATAGCCTACCAGCTATTCCTATCAGACAGATGAATGGACCTTGATGACTATTCCTGGAAAGTTGCAAGTGCATTATTGTGTACTTAACCCGTGAAGGAAACATTGAGTCACTCACAACTGTTACTGTTTACCTCCTCATTAACAGCAGATTTGACACCCAGGCCATCTTGGTGGCTATGTCCATTGAGGAGCAGCAGGGAGAAAAAAAAAGATGAGTAGGAGATGAAATCACTTGCTGATCAGATGATGCTTTTTTTTTTCTCCTTCAGGATGTTGGCACCATTGGCTTGGTCATGTTTATTGCTAATACCTAATTACCCTGCAGAGTTTGCAGGACCTCTTGAACCACAGCTGCACATTCTTTTATACAAGGTGAGGAATGCCTTAAAAACTATGCCCTGCATAAGGCAAGATCATGTGATAATGATCAGACAATTAGAAATGGGAGTGTAGACATTGAGCACCACATGATAGAAAAGTAGGATGTTGCAGGCAATGCAAGGTTTGAGTAATAAGGACATGCAGGATAGGCTCGAACTTCTTACATTGGAACAAAGGAGGTTGAGAGGTGACCTTATAGGGGTTTATAAAATCATGAGAGACATAAATAAGGTGAATAGCAAAGGTCTTTTCCCTAGGGTAGGAGAGTTCAAAACTAGAGGGCATATTTTTAAGATGAGAGGAGAAAGTTTTAAAGGGACAGCTGTTTTCACACAGAGGGTGGTTCAAATGTGAAATAAACTGCTAGAGGAAGTGATAGATACAGGTATAGTCACAGCATTTAAAAGACATTTGGATATGTACATCAATAGGAAACATTTAGAGGATGTGGGCCAAATGCAAGCAAATGTGACTGAGTTTAGGAAACCTGGTCCATGTGGATGGATTTGACTGAAGGGTCTATTTCTGTGCTGCATGACTCAATGACACAACTCAAGAACTCCCCTGCTTTTTACGAAGGGTTCTTTTGCACCAAGCTGAGAGAAAAGGCTAACTTTAGCCCAAAAGACAACACTGTCGACAGTGTAGCACTTCCTTAGTACTGCTCTAACAGCCCAGACTTTGTGTTCAAGTGGGGAGGCATTGGCATTGTGGTAATATACCACTGAGCTAGTCACCAGGCTAATGTTCAAATCCTATAGTGGCAGATGGTGATAAATTTAAATTCAATAAAATTCTGGTCTGATAGTGACAGTATAACCGTAATTGGAAAACGTCATCTGGTCCACTAACTTCCCTTAGCAAAGGAAATCTGCCATCCTTACGAAATCTGGCCTACTTGTGATTCCAGATCCACAGCAATGAGGATGACACTTAACTGGACCATAAGAATGAGCAATAATTGCTGGCCTAGTCAGTGACACCCACATCCCCTAAAGGAATAATGTCTCGAGTCTGATTTTGAATCAAATAACCTTCAGTCTGGGAAGTGCAACATATCAGCTCAAGCAATCTTCAGTATAAACTTTCAGCAAACCTTTCTGAATCAGCACTAGTTTCCAAGCAACTCTGCCAGGCATCATTCAGCACTAGAACTGTACTGAAAAGAATCTTGAGTACACCGACTATAACTGCCAAGAAGTTTATGGCAAGATTTATGAAACTGTACGATGTAGGAGCAGAGGTAGGCCATTCAGCCCACCGAGTCTGCTCCATTCAATGAGATCATGGCTGACCTGATAACTGTCAACTCTACTTTCTTACCTTTTCCCCATAACCCTTGATTCCCTCACTGATTAAAAATCTGGCTGTCTCAGCCTTGAAAATATTTAATGATCCGACCTCAGCAGTT